CCACTTTTTTTTTTTAAAGAGGTTTTTGCTATAGGGTGCATGCACTCGCCAGACAGACAGAGAGAGACAGAGAGCCAGAAAGCGAGAAATCACCCCAGAGGGATGGCCACTCCGCAATCCCTTCTCCTCCATTCTCCTCTTGGGATCTTGGGCACGCAAACACACGCGCCTGGCGTGAGTTTAAGCCACCAGGTCCAGGACGTGAACCACGGTCGACTACGTGGGAGTCCAGCGACATAGCCATTACGCTAACTGCTGGTCCCGAAGCTCCACTTCTTTTGAAAAAAAACAGACAAGTGGAACGCAGCAGAGAGGCCTGTATCTGGGGTTCCGAGAGCAGCCAGGCCTGGCATGTGCAGACAGTGAGGAAGGACAGATGGGGGCTCTGGGCACCTGTTGGGGTGCAGAGGCCCCAGGGTCATCAGTGAGGGCAAGTGAGGCAGTCCTGCCCTGGCTCCTGGGGCCTTAGCACCGCTGACCCTCCGTCCCTGCACAGCGCGGGCAGGTAAGGCGTAGGAGGAAGCGTCTGTTTCTCTCCACCTGCCGGAGGGCTCGCAGTGGGGAGAGACGGAGCGGGAATGTGAGAGAGCACCCCCGTGGGTGGTCACCTGCGATCCCTTCTCCATCCCTCTTCTGGGGATCTTGGCACGCACACGTGCTTCTCAAGTGCTGGTCTGGCCACGTGGGATCCAGGCCTTCGCACAGTGCCATGGGCTGGCCCCGAGGCACAGCTTTGAAAAGTTCTTTGATGCCAATCATTTTTTCCCCATCCCCTTAATTCTCTAGGAGTGGCCCATGCTCACTTGGGAAGATTCGAACGTGGCTTCCACACGCCCCCGTGCCCCGTAGGCACACATGTCGGCACACTTCTGCAGGCGGCCCACAGCCCGTGTCTCAGAGCTTCCAGTTGTCCCTGCCCTGCCTCTTCCACCCTCCCGCAGGTGGCCGCGAGCCCAACTGGACTCTCCAGGCCCGTCCTGCTGCCCCAGACGCTCACCCTGCCCTGTCCCCACAGCCCTCGTCCCGCCGAGCCGGCCTCTGCTGCACCAACTGCCACACCAGCTGCACCACACTGTGGCGGCGGAGCGCGGACGGGGAGCCCGTGTGCAATGCCTGTGGCTTGTACATGAAGCTGCATGGGGTGAGTGGCTGGGCCAGCAGGCCGAGCAGGTCACACGTCACACACGTGTCCCTGCTGAGTACCACCCCAGGCCTGTGCTGTTTCTGTTAGGCCCAGTGCACCGACTGGCTCACCGAAGCCGGTACCCTAGGCTTCCCCGTCCTGCTCCTGGTGCCCTGCTGGCCCCGGCTGCTTTGGGGGAGGGGGTGCCAGGCCTAACCCACAGGCTCCCAGCCCTTCCTGGGAGGAGGGAGGCCAGCCCAGGGACAGCGGGCGACCACACGGGCCGTGCGGCTGCGGCCAGGAGCGGCCCACCCTGTGGGCTCTGGGACTTATGAGCAGTCCGGGGTCAGTGGGACGAGACCACCACCCACCCTGCTCCCAGGTGCCCCGGCCCCTGGCCATGAAGAAGGAGCGTATCCAGACACGGAAACGGAAGCCGAAGAACGTGGCCAGAGCCGTGGGCTCCCCAGGTGTGTGAGGCCAAGGCCACCTGCGGTCAGGAGGGAGCCCCGCCCCAGCCCTTCCTGGGGCCACTTCAGGTGTCTCCACTTCTGCTATTAGAGATGGACATTGGCTCATGAGTCATCGCGGATGGTGTGAGCCTGGCCAGCAGGAGGCAGAGACGGGTGTCCAGGGTGGGGGTCCGGGAAGCCACACCCAGCCCCTCTGCTCGCATCAAGCCTGTGGGGCATTCTGCACCTCTCTGCCTCTGCCTCGCAGCCGGAAGAGAAGCGCGGCAGACCTAGTGCCCTCTGTAACGCCCACAGGACCCACAGCCAACCTCACAGCCTCCCCTGCTGCCACCCCCGTGGCCACCACAGCCATCCCCAGCAGCACGGGGAGCCCAGTAGCCACTCAGAGATCCGAACCCAGCCTGGCGTCCACCCCGTGCCCGGGACCCAGTGTTGCCTCCCAGGTAACGGAGAGGGGTGTGGGTGGGGGTGCCAGAGCTGGCTCGGCTGCCAGTCAGCCTCCAGTCTGCACAGCAGCTGGCCCAGGACACGGGGTTCCGGGCCCCAGAGAGGCCAGCGTGGTCCCTGCAGCTCATGCGTCTCTGGCCCCCTACAGGCCTCCAGCCGGGGGAATGGCTGCCTCAGCCCCAGCCTGGAGCTCAAGTTCGAGCCTGAGGACTTTGCCTTCCCCCCCACGGCCCTGGGCCCCCAGTCTGGCCTCAGTGGGACCTTGCCCCAGGAGGCCTGGTGCCCACTGGCTTTGGCCTAGGCTGGCTCGTGGCATCAGGGAGCTTCGCTGGAGCAGAGCTACAGGACCAGCTGCTCGTCCAAACAGCAGGGCCCGCCTGGCCCCCCACCTGAGATGGGGTCGCCTGGAGCCTCAGGCTCCCCAGCACGACGGGGGCAGTGCAGATGCAGTCAGGGCCAGCACAAGAAGGCCGGGGAGACTGATCGAGCCCCCATTCCCATGCCCAATGCTGCCCGAGCTTGGAGCCCCCGGCCACTGTACCAGGAAGGCAGACCAGGGTGCTCCCTGCCACCTGGGCCACCGTCCACATGTGCAGTGGGGACAAGTGGGGACAGGTGGGGACAGGTGAGGACAGGTGGGGACAGGCAGGAGGGGCCGGGCCACCATCCACATGTGCAGGTAGGGACAGGAGGGAGGGGCCCAGCGTCCCGCCAGCCATGCAAGCCTGGGCAGACCCCGGCTCCAAGGACAGAGCCGCGCAGCAGGGAACTTGCCCTCCCACGAGCACAGGCCTCCAGGGAGCTGCCCCGAGGACACCGTGGCCCTGCCAGCCTCTGGATGGCTCCCAGGGCGGGCAGTAAAGGGCCTCGTTCTGACTCCATCGTCTGCCATGGCCGTTTCTGACGTCAGGGAAGCCCTGTGCCCTAGCCCCACTGGGGCTGTTGGGGCTGGAGGTGACATGGCTGCATGGCCTGGCTTGTCCAGGACTGTCCAGGACTGCTCTGGGTCATGGCAGGTTACCGGCAACACCCTGTGACTCAGAAAACCCCCACCCCACATTGACTGTCACATGGCCAGAGTCTCTTCTGCCCGAGGGAGCCGGCGCATGGGCTGGCAGGAGGGTGAGGCCACAGGGAGTGGAAGGGAGTGGGGTACCAGCCACCGCAGGTGCAGAGGTACAGCCCCTTGGACACCTGCTCTTCCCCCCACAAGACCAAACTCCCAGGAAGCCGGCACTCTGGCCTCTGTTTTCTCTAAACGCGAGCGCTTCTAATTCAGCCGCGTATTCTGAGCTCCCAATCAGATTCAAAAACCTCGAATGCTGTGAGCCAGCTGAAATAGCCATGACCGGGTGCCAGCGTGCCACCCCTTGGAGACTTTCTGGGGAGCTGGCAGGTGGTGTGGTTGTGAGGGGCACTGGACTCCCCGGAGCCGACTGTGGTTCAAGACCCGGATCTGACAGCGTGCTTTCTCACTATCCTCTCTCTCTCTCTGTCTCTCTCTGGTCAAATCAAAAGTGATAATAAATATGTTAAATAAAATAATTCTTTAAAAAAATAAAAAGGTTTTCTGGAGCGCGCCCAGCCACCCCAGGCATCGCGAAGCACCCGCAGGCCCTCCGTGGGGTGTTGCCTTCTTACTGTGGGCGCGTGAGACCAGGGAAAGGCATGATGCATGGCCCTCGAGCAGCCTGCCCACCTCCCCGCGGTGCCCACAGGGCTTCCCACGGCCCTTGCCAGCACGACCCGCACAGGGTAGCCTCGGGTGCGGCAGAGGAGCGGGTGACAGGGTGGGTGCTGGAAACCTAGCCTCAGCCAAGCCCGCCTCCTCCCTGAAGCCTCCCTGACTGCCCCTGACCCCCCCTACTCCAGGCCCAGGGCACTGGATGGGCAGGACAGCCTTAATATAGTCCCGGCACTCCTCCCAGTGGCTCCTCCCCTCGCCAGCCCGCCGTCTTCCGCTGGCTACAAACAACCAGCTGGCTACAACCACCCCAGTGCCCAGGGACTGGCAGGCAGGGGCAGCCCAGCTCCTTGTCAGGATAGGACACTGGCCGTCCCCAACGAGCTGCATTTCCCGCCATCTTGGCAACTAAAGCAGACGCCCCAGGGTGCCTGGCGGAGGGGAGGTGCCGGGCATCAGATTCCTGAGCACCC